ACGCCATCAAGTGTAATCTGTTTATATGTACTGTAGGGCTCTCTTCATTTCACCTTTATTCATTGTAAAGACTTTAAAAAGTCAATTATTGGCTTAATATGTGCAAAATTATCCCAACAATCAAAAAAATTTTATTTTGCTGGGGATGATTTCATAAACTAGTAAAATGTGTCAATAGTTGTACTCATAAATATACACATTTTTATTCAATAGATACTGACGTACTCGCTCAACACTTAAAATGTTATAATAAACTCAGCCACAACATGTAGGTGTGGAGCGTTTGAGTACAGTAAATTATTTTGTCGTGTGGTTTTCGTCATGATTTCACCTTCACAATTGTCCACTAGATGTCACTATTTTACTATCAAATAAAATCCTTGGTGTCTCAGCAATGCAGATTTATTTTTCAAGAATGCAATATGTGTCCTTAATGTTTGACACATCTTCATTGTTTATGTTTGAAATAAAGCTAATAAAATATTTATGATAATAAAAACAAGACATTACCTCTAAAACACTAATATCAGCTTCTTAAGCACTTAATTGTGCAATATTAACAATATTATTACACATTTTATTTATCTGTTTTATTAGAATGTTTAATAATGAACTTCAGGGAACATCCTGTTGTCTCAGAATAGAAATGATTACAAATTTAACAGCTGAGATGTCATCGCCATGGCTGTATCCTTGCCTTTTCCTTGTGTCTCCCTCCCCTGTGTCTCCTGTCTGTGTTGTGTGTGTGGTTTTCCCTCCTGCTTTCCAGCTCTGCTCCACACACCTTCCTCCAATCAACTTATCAACCCTCCCAGTCTGCCTACCTGCCTCCAATCAACTCATCTACCCAACAGTATATCCACTCCAGTGCTCCGTCTGTTGTTTTCCAGATTGTTCAGTCTTCAGTGGAAGTTAATCCTCACCCGCATTCCTGCCTACTGCCCACCTGATTCACCTCCCTTGTGAGCCTGCCTGCTATCTTCAGTCAGCCTTCTCCTCAGCCCTCATCATCATCGCTATCATCACACAAATACAACCAACCTCACTCTGATTCTGTCTTGCATTTGGGTCAGATGTTTATCGAACAACATGAAATATAACTTTTTTTATCTGTTCTTTTGTTTTTCCTGTCTGTCCTGGTAGAAGACCGTCACTGCTGTCTGTACACGTTTCTACACTTACTGGGGTTTTCTGTAACACCTTTTGAACAGTAGAGAGTACAGAGTTTGGTAAATCTGGATACAATGCACTGAACAACAGTATTGTTTATTACCTTGTTAACAGACAAATGTGTGACATTGTATATTGCTCTTTTCATTAATTATTGCAATATAATAAAGTTTATAAGGATTATTTTATTGATTAGTCTTGTTACCAGTATAAATTAAACACATTAGGTCGAGTGGATGTAAACCTAGAATTCATTTAATGGATTTCTCCACTGCTTTTCAAAATTCCAGGGTTGGTTTCATTTGTCTGCCTGCATGTTCTGACACATTCAGTGCTTTATCTTATGATGATCTATCTTCCCTGCATACATCACTGAAGTTGTTCTTCTTTATTGCCCGTCAGAGCGGGAACAGCACAACATGACTGATTGAGTTTTCATTCGTCACCCTGCAGGTAAGAGTTGTTTTGTGTTAAATGTTAAATGTTCCTAATTTCACAATCTTTGACTCTTATAACATATATGTATATACAATATAATGTGCAGGTTATTCTACTGACTTAAGCAAATCCTCTGTTGTTGTTGTTTATAAAAAGTGGAATACCGACATTACCAGTGTAATACTGAGCCTGTCTATGCTTTATAAACTTCATATAGTCCTTAATCAGTATTTTACTCATTTAATCAATAATCTACTCTCAGGATGAAGTACTATTAACAGTTAAAGGATAAATGTTACAGTTCTTTTCAATAATGCATTTAGATACACAGTCCATCTTAATACAAACAGACATTGTACAGAGTTATTGATCACTTTTTCCTGAAGTGATGCTCTATCACAATTGCAGTGTTTGTGTGTATGTGAGAGAGAGAGAGACAGATATTGAAGATCTTTGGATATCAGTGTTATATAAATGCAGTATTTAAGAGTTGGGAGTCAGATATCAGTAACATGAAGTCTTTTTATCATAGATGTGTGTGTGTGTGTGTGTGTGTGTGTGTGTGTGTGTGTGTGTGTGTGTGTGTGTGTGTGTGTGTCTGTGTGTCTGTGTGTTAAATTCCTTTATGAGTCATCCATAAACAGACCAAAGCAAACAATATTTAGTGTTTTGGACAACAATGAATGTGTGTAAATGTAATAAAATTACATTTAGAAAATAGCAAAATTCCTTTTAAACAAATATATTTATTAATTATACAGTCAATTTATAGCTTAACATGATTAATAAGTTTCAGTATTTATCTCTGCATACTTCATGTACACAAAGTAAAACATATTTAAGTAGAAATTCAACATTGTGGATCATTAACTGATCCTGAAATACAGCGCTGATGTGGTGTCGGCCAGTCCCACCGCCCTGCGTCGACTGATTGCCTGGAAAGAGAGCAGAGTCTGTCAGGAAGTCAGTGCAGACTGTACAGACAGTGCTGCTACTGCCTGGTACTAACTCATTATCAGATAATAAAGCTGGAATAGAAATCCTGATCACATCAGAACTGTTTGATATATTCTGTATCATATCCTGTAAATTTGTTTGATATAATAGTATTGCCTTGTTAACAAATGAGTGACATAATACATTAATGAACAATAAATAAATAATAAATACTTAAGAGACATGTAAAGCTATATTTCTTTCATTTTAAGAGGATCTTTTACTTCAACCCATTCACAGTCAGTACCTTGTTTTATCTGACTTGTTAGTGAAATGTAGACAAACTAACTAAACTTTGGTTGAATAATCTGTTCAGGTCAAATACATTTTAACTCACAAACATGATGGAAATAAAGATGAATTAACACAAGTTGCTTTGTTGTTCATTAGGTTTGAGAAACGCTGGTCGATCTACATTAAATAAAGACACAGAAGACTGACATGTAACACAAGCAAACAGCTACTGAAGTTATCAGCTACTTTTACCTGATACAGTTGAGATAATACTGCCTGTATTGAATGTACTACTGTAATATTGTGATAATGCAGCTATGAAGGATTCCATTGAGAGAAAACATAAAAGGCTTTATTGCTCTTTTCATTAATTATTGCAATATGATAAAGTTTTTAAAGGATTATTTTATTGATTTGTCTTGTTACCGGTATAAACTAAACGCATTAGTTTGAGTGGGTGTGAATGTAAACCTAGAATTCATGTAATGTATTTCTCCACTGCTTCTCCAAATCCAGGATGTTGGTTTCATTTGTCTGCCTGCATGTTATAACACATTTAGTGCTTCATCTTATCATCCTCCCCTTGTGTATGCATCAGTGAAGTTCTTCTTTATTTCCTGTCAGGATGGGAACAGCACAACATGAGTGACTGAGTTTTCATTCTTCAACCTGCAGGTAAGAGTTGCTTTTTAATGTTAAATGTTCATTATTCCACATTCTTTGACTCTTATAACATATAACATACAATATAATGTGCAGGTTATTCTGTTGACTTAAACAAATTCTTAACTATTCTTAACCAATAATTAACAGTTAATTTCTTGTGAATTTATGGAGGAGTTAACATGTGAGGGCAGTTTTTAAGACAAATGAAATGTCTTCAAATATACAAACAGACTGTTCAGGAGGAGAAGAACAGAAAAAGCTCATACAACATAAGATTCCCTTCATAGACATTTCAAGCACTCTTTGACTGATTTTCCACAAGTATGTGCATGTTTAGATCTGGTTTCAGATGAGGGTGAAAGAAAAACGTTCATACTGATGGTTTACTGAGATAGAAAGATGAAGAACAGATAAAGTGAAAAACAGCAGTGTTTCCAACAAGGCTGAACAACCAGACTAAAGGTTTTGACTTTATTTGCAGTATTCTACAATACTGTCCAGTGATGGACTGTCTTTCAGGACCTGCAGTGTTTCAATGTGTCTGATACTGACTTTTGAAGGTATTTCACAAAAACACACAAAACACTCCAGGAAAACTTTGATGTGTGTGTTTTGGATGTTTCACACGTGCCTGTATTTATATACTGAGAGAGAGAGAGAGAGAGAGAGAGAGAGAGAGAGAGAGAGAGAGAGAGAGAGAGAGAGAGATGTTGAACCCATGACCAATGCAGCTAGGACTCAGCTTTGGTAAATGGGTCAGATAAAGAAATACATGTAACATACCAAGTCCCCTCAGAGAGTCAAAGAAAAACAGATCGCACAGGACTGAAACAGCAACAAGAGACAGTGAACCCAGAGATAAACTCAAATTAACTCTAGAGTTTCTACCCTGTTCAACCTCATGTTCCACTGAGTAAAGACAATTGTTTTATTTGTGTTTTTTAGAACAACCAGACTAAAGGATGCTTTATTATTATTAATAATAAAACATTATTTATTTTCAGGAGTCTACAATGCTGTGCAGTGATGGACTTCAGGACCTGCAGTGTTTTAATGTGTCTAATAAAGTCTTTTGAAGGTATTTCCACACAAAACACTCCAATAACACATTGATGTGTTTGTGACCAAAAAATCACTGAGATCGTAATCATTCACATCAAAACTAATTTATTCATTACTGTCAATGAAAGAAATTCACTATGCGATTATACAGTCATACATAAGCTTAATGGTAATGCTAACATGCTAACATGATGACAATTATAATTTTGATAATTATTTGTAGCAGGTAGAATTTGACCTTGTCCACCATCATAGTTTAGCATGTTAGCATGTTTTTTTCTTCAGATACAGACTCTGAGGCTCCAGCGGTCGATTGTCTTTGTTTTTGATGCAGTTTTATTAAATGTTTTCTTACTTTTAGAAAGTAAAAATGAATCCATTCAGTCTGATGACATGTATTATAACTATACTACTGTTTCTTGTTTGTTCTTTAGTTTGCGTTGCAGAGCAGTCAGAGTTGATTTGTTCACATCAACCAATCGTAGCCCTGGCTGGTGATGATGTCATTCTACCATGTTACCTTGATCCTCCAATCAGTGCCAGTTCTGAGACAGTGGTGTGGACCAGACCTGGTTTAGACCCAAAGTACATCCATGTTCACCAAGATGGACGACTGATGTTTGATTATCAAAATCCATCTTATTATCTCAGAACGAGACTGTTTGTGGATGAACTGCAGAATGGAAACGTCTCCATGAAAATCTTCAAAGTGAAAATCTCTGATGCAGGAAAATACTTTTGCTTCCTTCGATCAATGTTGAAGGAAGCTTCCATCCAACTCACTGTTGGTAAGTCAGACTTTCTGAAGATGATGAATTACACATTTCTGCTGACTGCAAAGATCAGTAATGTAACTTTATATTAGAAGTAAGCAGCCATGATAAGACACAAAGAAAACAGTGCTGTAAGTTATTTGTTGGATCTGAATCCACTGTTTGAAATTCCTCCTCTCTTCTCATCAGGTGTTGTCTCCACTCCCATCATAGAGGTTGTCTCCAATAACAGTAGAAGAGTAGTTCTACAGTGTGAGTCTAAAGGCTGGTATCCAGAGCCTGAGGTGGTCTGGCTGGACGGTGAGGGAAACCTCCTTTCTGCTGGACCTACAGAGACAGTCAGAGGTCCTGATGACCTCTATACTGTCAGCAGCAGAGTGACTGTGGAGAAGAGACACAGCAACAACTTCACCTGTAGAGTCCAACAGAAGGACATCAACCAGACCAGAGAGACACACATCTATGTTCCAGGTTATAAAGAGCTCTAAATATATTAAACATATTGTCACTGTTGAGCTCTAGTTGGATTCAATAATGTCATTCTGTTCTCTCTTCTATCTTTTCATCTGATTCATTCACAGTTCAGTCTTCTGATTGGATTCTGATCATCACCATTATTCCTGTTTGCATTATTGTGCTGTTCATCATTATCATCCTGACAATATGTAAGTCGCATATTTATTTTCCTTTTTTATTCCAAGTTACTGTCAGAGCTCTTTATTGACATACATACAGGCATAACAACAGTAACTAAGCAAACAGTCTGAAATGATCTTCACTGCAGGAAATTTGGGGAAAATGGAGGAAATAAAAGAAAATGTGTTGCTTTCAAAAGCTTTCTCTCAAATGTTCTCTTTATGAAAGTCACTGTGATGTTAAAAATATTCCAGTTCAAACAACAGAAACACATGAACAAAACCACTTCAACACTTTCCTGATTCTGTTGGCTCACAGGCATAAAGAGGATCCAGAAGAATTAAATGTAACACTGAAGACACTTTAAAACACAGAGAGACGCAGCGTTGAACGACGTGGACTAAAAACCTCCTGTAGTGACCGAGAACGAGGAGGAAATCATTGTGACACTGGAGGATATTCTCCATCTTTTCCTGCTCTACCATCACACTGACAGAGAATGATGATGTTGTTTGTCTTCCTAGTTTACAATCTATCCATTGTGACTTTGTTTTCAGTCTATGTGAGCAGGTGTTGTCTTTGAGCCAGTGAAAAGGCTGCAGACACTCAGTGAAGAAGGGAGATCTTAATGATGTTGGTGTCCAGTCTAAGATATGAGCTGTGACTGAAGATTCCTGCTTTCATTTCATGGATTGTATCAAAGTTCCCACTTTAGCACTTTAAAAGAATCTGAACTGTTTTGTAAAATGTGTAAGGAGCTGTGGATGTGACAGGATGCTCCTTTAGTTTCTGGTTTTAGTGACAATGAAAATACTGATCTTGGCATTAACCTCTGTTCACATTTTAGTATTTATTTCTGCACTTTTCTGTATTTATAATTCACTAACTGCTGTCTGTAAGTCAAATTAAAGCTTTACTGTACTCGACACTATTAAATCTATCTATCAATAGATCATACTCTCATTTATTATGTCACTGTGGTCATTTTCAACACTGTCAGTGATTCAGACACTATCTGACTTTACATCTGGAACCTTTAAAGTCATTTAACAATGTAATAAAACACAGGGTGACTCCTTATTAAACAGAAACCTTTACATTCACTTTAAGCTCTCTGATATTAGAAAGAAAGGTTAGTGCGCCCCCTGCTGCTCATAAAGCTGGTTGTTAACTGGTTCAGTGAACTCTGAGTTTATCAATGCAGCTACAAGAGTCATGAGGAAGAAGGCAATCTTTTTAAATTTGTTTCTGTGCAGGAAGAAGTTGTAATGTCTGTAAACACAGTATGAACAGGACTAAACTTTATATGAAAACTACTCTAACAGTCTGATTATTAGTCATTCATTCAATGTTCAGTTACATCCTGTGGTTAAATAATACTGACTAGACTGCTCAGCAACTCTTTAGAGAAAATAATAGAGGAACTCAAAACCTCAACCATTGACTGAAACTGCCTGAAATTTAATAAAGTCATTGTAGATCCTCATTTCCTGTCAGAACAGAACAACATGACAGTGGAGAGTTTGCATCCATCACGCTGTAAGTCAGAGTTTCTTTTTAAAGTAAAACTTGAATGTTAAATGTTGGATTTGTCATCATTTCATTATTTGACTGTTATAACAATGTGCAGATTATTTTATGGACAAACTCTCTGTGTTGTTTATTGTGATATCATTATAGTCTATATAAAGTGGACTCACACTGTTACGTAGACACTGAGTCTGTATTCTTATATTGTTATCATTTATTTTACAAACCTTTTATCGAAAACTTTGAACTCCATTTTTAAAGTAAAAACGATGTTCAGAAAGATTAAGAAAAGAAAATGTATATCACACATAATATCTGGTATTAATTGTTTCCACTAGTATATCGATGTGATGACAACAGCATGTGACTGCGTGTTTGTACTTTACTGTCCATGAGGAGGTTAGATGAGGATGTGAGAACAACAGATCACAAAAACACTGAAACCAAAGAGAAACTAAAATAAACTCTAGAGTTTCTACCCTGTTCAACCTCATTTTCAACTAAATACATTTATTTATTATTTTATTTTAAACAACAACACTAAAGGTTGTTGTCTTTCTTTATATTCAGGAGTCTACAATGCTGTATCCAAAGACAGAGCTCTGTGATGGACTGCAGGGTTTTCATCATTCTTCTAACACAGTGTTTAACAGGTAATTTACACATAGAAACAGTCCAGTAACACATTGAGTGTGTGTGTGTGTGTGTGTGTGTGTGTGTGTGTGTGTGTGTGTGTGTGTGTGTGTGTGTGACAAGAATTTTGTTTTTGATGCAGTTTTATTAAATGTGTTCTTACTTTTAGAAAGTAAAAATGAATCCATTCAGTCTGATGTCATGTATTATAACTATACTACTGTTTCTTGTTTGTTCTTTAGTTTGCGTTGCAGAGCAGTCAGAGTTGATTTGTTCACATCAACCAATCGTAGCCCTGCCTGGTGATGATGTCATTCTACCATGTTACCTTGAACCTCCAATCAGTGCCAGTTCTGAGACAGTGGTGTGGACCAGACCTGGTTTAGACCCAAAGTACATCCATGTTCACCGAGATGGACGACTGATGTTTGATTATCAAAACCCATCTTATTATCTCAGAACGAGACTGTTTGACGATGAACTGCAGAATGGAAACGTCTCCATGAAAATCTTCAAAGTGAAAATCTCTGATGCAGGAAAATACTTTTGCTTCCTTGAATCAATGTTGAAGGAAGCTTCCATCCAACTCACTGTTGGTAAGTCAGACTTTCTGAAGATGATGAATTACACATTTCTGCTGACTGCAAAGATCAGTAATGTAACTTTATATTAGAAGTAAGCAGCCATGATAAGACACAAAGAAAACAGGGCTGTAAGTTATTTGTTGGATCTGAATCCACTGTTTGATATTCCTCCTCTCTTCTCATCAGGTGTCGTCTCCACTCCCATCATAGAGGTTGTCTACAATAACAGTGGAAGAGTAGTTTTACAGTGTGAGTCTAAAGGCTGGTATCCAGAGCCTGAGGTGGTCTGGCTGGACGGTGAGGGAAACCTCCTCTCTGCTGGACCTACAGAGACAGTCAGAGGTCCTGATGACCTCTATACTGTCAGCAGCAGAGTGACTGTGGAGAAGAGACACAGCAACAACTTCACCTGTAGAGTCCAACAGAAGGACATCAACCAGACCAGAGAGACACACATCTATGTTCCAGGTTATAAAGAGCTCTAAATATATTAAACATATTGTCACTGTTGAGCTCTAGTTTGATTCAATAATGTCATTCTGTTCTCTCTTCTATCTTTTCAGATTATTCATTCACAGTTCAGTCGTCTTCTGATCGGATTCGGATCATCATCATTCTTCCTGTTTGCATTATTGTGCTGTTCATCATTATCACTCTGGTATTATGTAAGTCACATATTTATTTTCCTTTTTATTCCAAGTTACAGTCAGAGCTCTTTATTGACATACATACAGGCATAACAACAGTAACTAAGCAAACAGTCTGAAATGATCTTCACTCATTTGGAAATGTTCTGTTCATGAAAGTCACTGTGATCTTCAATTTTCACTCATTTCCAGTGAGGCAAAAACACAACAACAACTGTCCTTCTTCTGTTGGCTCACAGGCACAAAGAGGCACCAGAAGAATGAAACTGAACAGGAAGAAGGTAACAGCAGGATGTAAAAACAACAGAGTTCCTGACTCAAATAAAGCCAAATGTGAGGCAAAACGCTAAATGGATTGAACACGAAGAAATTCCCATGAAGGGAAAAAAGAAGCAGCTGGACAGCTTTTGACAACAGCAACTTCAACAATCCAGATAGCTGGATGTAAAAAAGGCTGCATAGGTCATCCAAAGTATGCCAAAGGTCACCAAATGCAGTTGAGATTTATTTGAAGAACTTCCCACATTGAAGAAAAAGAAAAAGTATTTGGAGGACCAGAGATCACAGACACATCAGAAGCTTGAAATAACACTGAAGACACTTAAACTGAAGGCTTAATCTGGTCACAAATAAATCTGGTGTTGTTGATAATAATAATAAAGTTTAGTTATTTACACTGATCCATCTAACTTCAAATCACTGATCAAAACCCACTTTTTCTGAACTGCTTTTAATGATTAAGTCATTGTTGAGTGTTGTAGATATAGCTATAATTTCTTAGTGTGTTGTTTTATTACGTTTTTCTTTTCCTTTTTAACTTATGTGAAGTGTCTTTGAGTTTCTTAAAAAGCGCTCTTTAAATTAAATGTATTATTATTATTTATATGTACAAACGTTGTCTTAAAGCTACACGCAACCTTTAGATGATCTAACAGGATGTAACTTTCTGTGACTCACTTTATATATAATATCTGTCATGGAGAACATCATCGGTGTAAACTGGAGTTTTAACATAGACACAGATTGATTTAGTGATGTTAACTCAGATGGTTTTCATGTAGCAGTCGACTCCTTTTGTGTTCGCAGTTCTCAAACTCTCGTAACTGAGAGTTGCTTTTTTAGCTATAATTCTAATGTTAACTGTTGGATGTGTCATAATGTAATGATCCTGATCTTTATAACAATGTGCAGATTATTTTATGGACACATTTTAGATGTTGTTAATGATTAAAGTTTCACTGGTGGTTCAGGTTTCTAACTACTTCTGACTCATCTGTTGGTGACTTTTGAAACACTGCAATAGAAACAGTTTGCTGGAACATTCATTTTGGTGTCTGCTGCTCACTACGAAACTATTAATGGCTGTCATAAAAACAACTGTTGTACAATTGTTTCCATTATGGCAGGGAGGCATCGAGGAAAGAGTTGCTTTAGGTATTATATATTGTAATCCTACAGTAGCTTTACACTATATCTTAGAAATACCGGCTGTATTATAGATCGGGAAGTCCCGATCCGATCTCAGCGGTCGGTATCGGCCCTGCAGACAACAGGGGAAAGAGAGAAGAGACTTTATTGTGTAAAAAAAAACATTAAGGAACAGCTTTGATGGAGAGCTTAGTGGAGTTTGAATTGACATGAGACTGGTTGTGATGGCGAGCTCAGGACTCATCTTTTCTGATGTAAAAAAAACCCTCACTAAAATGTCTCCATAATGTACATGTGACAAGTTGGGAATTGATACTCTTTAACTGTTGTGGGGTAAAGGAAAAGGCTGAATGTTTATTAAGTTTATTAAGAGTGTTTACTTTTCATCGTTATTTAATTCTTATGTATTAAAATTCTAATATTTAAAGTATTAATCTTAATCTGTGCTCTACAGACTGGTCTCAGTCCTGCGCTCAGGATCGATTGCTTTTCTCATTCGAGTAAAGCTCGCGCAAGAGACACACATCTCATATATATTGTGATTATTTCTCCCCTCTTTAGGTATGTTGTGTATGTGAAACTGAGTTGTTTTGTCTGTAGTAACTTGTTGACATGTAAAGAATATATACATAATGTTTCTGTTACTTTTCGGGTAGATGTAGTCAAGTTGTGTGTGTGTGTGTGTGTGTGTGTGTGTGTGTGTGTGTACGGGCAGACTAACCGGCGTTTAGAGGGACAACATTTACTACTCACAGAAAGTTTGGGATATTCGACTTTGGGGTGAAATTTCTCGGTGCCAGAGCAGAAAGCTCAACAGCATAACAACAGTAACTAAGCAAACAGTCTGAAATGATCTTCACTGCAGGAAATTTGGGGAAAATGGAGGAAATAAAAGAAATCGGTTGCTTTTAAAAGCTTTCTCTCATTTGGAAATGTTCTGTTTATGAAAGTCACTGTGATGTTAAAAATATTCCAGTTCAATTATCATATTTTTGTTCTGCTAGTGTAGTTTTCTCACTTTAACACTCATTCATTGATTAGACAAAAACACATGAACACAACAACTTCAACACTTTCCTGTTTCTGTTGGTTCACAGGCACAAAGAAGATCCTGAGGACTGGAATCAAACTGGAAGGAGATGTAACACATGGTGTGAAAGAGGAACTGTTAATGGTCGAAGGAAAGCCAAAGGTCCAGAACCATAATGTAAATATGAATGCAGCTCAACTCCAGCCCTTAGTGGAGGGAAATCAGCAAGAGGAGGACCAGAGAGAGCAACTGGACAGAGTTCAGAGATCACAGACAGAGTAAACATCAGGAGCAGGAAATAACACTGAAGACACTTTAAAACACAGAGAGACGCAGCATTGAACGACGTGGACTAAAAACCTCCTGTAGTGACCGAGAACGAGGAGGAAATCATTGTGACACTGGAGGATATTCTCCATCTTTTCCTGCTCTACCAGCAGCGTAACTTCTGTATATGCAGATGATGGAGCTGCACAGGGGCCTGCAGCAGTTCAGAGCCATAACAGACCACTGGTATCTGCACTGCTGCTTCAATCTTGATTGACAGTAGCTGAACCAACATCTTGTGCAGCGATGAATTTCCCCTTATTTATAGAAGTCAGTGAGCTAAGCCCCTAATGTTAACTGTTAAGTGTAAGCTTTATAACCTTTTATTGTTTGTTTTATTTTACTCAAGCTGTCTGTGTATGAGTTTGTGCTTTACCACCTGTAGACAACATGTTCATTTTTATATTATTCTAATTGTCGGACATCATGAAACGTTAAATAAAGCTTCTTGTTGTCTGACAACCCACAGCACTTTAGGATTTATAATCCATGTTGTTTTAAAAGTTAAAGAGAAAATAATATTGAAATAGTTTTACCCAACAGTTCCCACTCAAGGTCCACTTACTGGTATTTTCTTGAGTTTTCAGCCACATCACACAGTCTTCATGGATGTATGAAGTGTGTTCAGATAATTTCAGCAACCTCAGACTGTAACAGAACAGTTTACCTGCAGCCTTCATTGTATTTTATGGAACAGGAAAGTTTGATCTTCCTCCTGGAGCAGAAGGTCTGTTTGAGCAGCAGATAGTAGCACACAACAATGAAAGATATTAGAAATAACAGACAACACGAGCTGCAGAAATCCAAGAGGACTTCAGATGATGGTTGTTGTGTTTATGGCAGCCTCTCTCTCCTTTAGTTTGACTGACAGCTGAAGATGAACGCAGCAACAGGAACAAACAGAGAAATACTCAGTACAGGTAGAGTACAACAACTAAATCATTTGTCCTGTAAGGAGCTGTGGATGTGACAGGATGCTCCTTTAGTTTCTGATCTTGATACTAGAAAGAAAGGTTAGTGCGCCCCCTGCTGATAAATAAAGGTTCAATATTAGTGTCACTGCATCTTCCTCTTCATGCTCCTATAATGTGTGCTGCTCTCACGTCTCCAGGTTCACAAACAGTCTAAAGCAGAACATCTGTGTGGAGACGCTTCGAGAAGGCAATCACAGGTATCTCACTCTCTGTCTGTTATCAGTCATGAAGTTATCAAATTATACCCCGGGTTAATTAAAACAGTACCTCCAATTATACATATACAAAACATGACATTATGTCATTGTAGGAAGGGGGGGGAGGCTTCAGCACATTATGTTGCCGTAGCATAAGGGCCCCAAATCTTCATGTAGCTATCTATGAGTTTATAACATAGAAAGTTTTAGCCATTTTGTCCAGACACTCCGTCACTGGTATATCCCCTCTAGTTTTCCAATATCGCAGTACTACCCTACATCCAGTGATAAGTACTGTTCTGCACCATGAGATCTGCTGAGCATTTAGTCCACTTCCCTTTGTTATCACACCTTATAGACAGATCATCAGTTCCTGTACCAGTACAGACGTCATCAAGTGTAATCTGTTTATATGTACTGTAGGGCTCTCTTCATTTCACCTTTATTCATGGTGAAGACTTTAAAAAGTCAATTATTGGCTTAATATGTGCAAAATTAACACAAAATCCCCAAAATGTTATCTTGCCGGGAATGATTTCTGAAACTAGTAAAACGTGTCAATATCTGTCCTCATAAATATACAATTTTTATTCAACAGATACTGATGTACTCGCTCAACACTTAAAATGTTATAATTAACTCAGCCACAACATTTAGGTTCAGAGCGTTTGAGTACAGTAAATTATGTTGTAGTGTGGTTTTAGTCATGATTACATTTCCACAACTGTCCACTAGAGGTCACTATTTTACTCTCTAAAATCCTTGGTGTCTTTTGTAGTACAAGTATGAATTTGCTTCTGTTAGACCATGAACCAGTTGGGACTTTGATGTTTCTGATGTGTGTTTCAGCTGAAGACAAACAGATTGAAGGAGAGGCCTCCTATCGACTGGGACTGAACTAGTCTCTCAGTACTTCCTGATTTCCTGTCTGTGGCTCTCAGCATCAAGTTCCTACTGAAGATATCAGTCATTGAAAATGGGTCACAAACAGTTTTTGGACAACAATGAATGTGTGTAAATGTAATAAAATTGCATATAGAAGATAGCAAAATTCCTTTTAAACAAATATATCTATTTATTATACCATCAATTTATAGCTTAACCTGATCAATAAGTTTCAATATTTATCTCTGCACACATCATCAAAGTAATATGTATTTAAGTAGAAATTCAACATTGTGGATCAATGTTCCTATAATTCGTACAGCATCCTGGAGGTTTCTCATTAATTCAAGTGAATGCAATATGTGTCATTAATGCTGACATTATTTACTGAGTGTTTTTGTTTATAGCACTTAATTGTGTAATATTAACAATATTATTATACAACTCTCTCTCTCTCCCTCTGTAGAGTCAGTATAAGAGAGCTTATGAGTTCTTCCTGCAGGGTTATGAAGTTGCCTGTAAACTGGGAGATGTGGCTCTGCTGCAGAAGACACAGGTACAATATAAACTGTCTGTCTGTCTGTACTGGGACTGTCTCACTGCTAGTAGCTGGTAGAGGACCGTCACTGCTTCCTGTACACGTCTCTACACTTGTTGTGCAGCTTTCTGTGATGAACAGTAGAGAGTACAGAGTGTGTTCAATCTGGATACAATGCACTGAACAACAGGTGGTCTGTCTGTCTGTCTGTCTGTCTGTCTGTCTGTCTGTCTGTCTGTCTGTCTGTCTGTTGCTGTCTCAGGTGTTGGTGGCCAACGCTCGCGCTCACTCCCTGATCCTGAAATACAGCGCTGATGTGGTGTCGGCCAGTCCCACCGCCCTGCGTCGACTGATTGCCTGGAAAGAGAGCAGAGTCTGTCAGGAAGTCAGTGCAGACTGTACAGACAGTGCTGCTACTGCCTGGTACTAACTCATTATCAGATAATAAAACTGGAACAGAAATCCTGATCACATCAGAACTGTTTGATATATTCTGTATCATATCCTGTAAATGTGTTTGATATAATTGTATTGCCTTGTTAACAATGTGTGACATAATAAATTAATGAATAATAAATAAAGAACAAATAGGAGACATGTAAAGCTGTATTTCTTTCATTTTAAGAGGATCTTAAGTACCTGTGCTACTCCAGTCTAATCTCAACGTTCACTGCTTTACACATATCAAGACAAAGGATAGGTTCCACTAACGTGTCTGACTTGTTAAACTTGTTAAGTTAAATTAGTGTGTTGTAGTCAAACTAACTAAACTTTGGTTGAATAATCTGTTCAGGTCAAATACATTTTAACTCACAAACATGATGGAAATAAAGATGAATTAACACAAGTTGCTTTGTTGTTCATTAGGTTTGAGAAACGCTGGTCGATCTACATTAAATAAAGACACAGAAGACTGACATGTAACACAAGCAAACAGCTACTGAAGTTATCAGCTACTTTTACCTGATACAGTTGAGATAATACTGCCTGTATTGAATGTACTACTGTAATATTGTGATAATGCAGCTATGAAGGATTCCATTGAGAGAAAACATAAAAGACTTTATTTCTATTTTCATTAATTATTGCAATATAATAAAGTTTTTAAAGGATGATTTTATTGATTGTTGTTACCAGTATAAACTAAACACATTAGTTTGAGTGGATGTGAATGAAATGAGTGTATTTCTCCACTGGTTCTCCAACGTCTCTTAATATTAGTTTCATTTGTTGTCTGTCTGCATGTTCTAACACGTTTTTAACGTTTCAGGCTGTTTAACTTTTTAGGATCCTCCCCTCCTGTATGCATCAGTGACGTTCTTCTTCATTGCCTTCAGAGCGGGAACAGCACAACATGACTGATCCAGTTTGCATTCTTCACCCTGCAGGTAAGAGTTGTTTTTTAAAGTAAAATAATCCCTGATCAGCATTTTACTAATTTAATCAATAATCCTCATTCATAACGAAGTACAATTAACAGATAAATTGTTAATTAGCTGTGAAATTACGACAGGTTAACATATAAGGGCAGTTTCTTGCTTTAAATGATGCATATGTTACACTTCAGTCAGGACCACTTTTGTCAAAAGAGAACTTATTTCCAAATGCAGAATGTGATATTTGGCGGTATGGATCTGTTCTGGGACCTCTCTGCCCTTCCACGTGCACATGTGAAAAACTTAAGACAAGGAGAGCAGCAGCAAAGACCCCTCAGGGTACAGGACAGAGCAGGCTTCAATGACAACAGAAATAACATTGATTAAATCAGATAACACATAAAAGGTGGAGCTGGGGTGGAGGTGGGTTGCAGAGGATGCAGCAACGGTAGGCAGCTTAAATAAGGCACCACTAAATGAGGGGCCACTGGGGGCTTTTGAGGGACCTTTGGCTGATCTTTTGGGGCCACTGATTCCTGATGGTATTTCAGATGATTCTCAAACGGTGCTCTGTTGATTATTGCTGCCGTGCAAAAGCAATGTAAGGATGTCACATTTGTAAAACTCAGGCTGCATTTGACACATAACTGTGAACTCTGAAAGAGAGGAATATTTGAAATTCAATTGATTTAATTTGTGCAGCCTCATATGAGCAGAAACATAAGGTCTTTGGATAACAGCGTTCAATAAATGCAGCCATTCAGCCTTTAAGAGATCCAGTTCTTCTTCTGTGCAGACGTTCAGTGTTGAGTTAAGCTGAAGATCTCAGTAACACGAGTTTCCAGCTGTCAAAGTCAGTTGGTCAAATCTTTTTATCACAAAATTCCAACATTGATATTCTTAAAACAGACAAAATGTCTTCAAATATACAAACAGACTGTACAGGAGAAAAAGAACAGACTGACTATTTGACTGATTTCCCATGATTAGATCTGATATTAGATAAGGGTGAAAGAAAAACAGAGCACACTGATAGAGGACTGAAATCTAGAGTTTCTACCTTGTTCAACCTAATGTTCCACTGAGTAAAGACTTTTGTTTTATTTGTGTTTTTTAGAACAACCAGACTAAAAGATGCTGCCCAGTGACAGACTGTCCTTCATAATTCTTCTAATTGTGACTTTTGAAGGTAATACAACACACAAAACAGTAACACATTTATTGGCAATGAAACAAATTCACTATGAGATTATACAATCATTACATCAGTCTACAGTCACTCTGGTTGCTCTGAGGCTCCGTGGTCAATGCTATAAAATCTAACAACAATTTTTTATGATTTCATGCTTTTTTATTAAATGTTTTCTTACTTTTAGAAAGTAAAAATGATTCGATTCAGTCTGATGACATGTATTATAACTATACTACTGTTTCTTGTTTGTTCTTTAGTTTGCGTTGCAGAGCAGTCAGAGTTGATTTGTTCACATCAACCAATCGTAGCCCTGGCTGGTGATGATGTCATTCTACCATGCTACCTTGATCCTCCAATCAGTGCCAGTTCTGAGACAGTGGTGTGGACCAAACCTGGTTTAGACCCAAAGTACATCCATTTTCACCGAGATGGACGACTGATTTATGACAATCAAAATCCATCTTATAATTTCCGAACGAGACTGTTTGTGGATGAACTGCAGAATGGAAACGTCTCCATGAAAATCTTCAATGCAAAAATCTCTGATGCAGGAAAATACTTTTGCATCCTTGAATCAATGCTGGAGGAAGCTTCCATCCAACTCACTGTTGGTAAGTCAGACTTACTGAAGATGATGAATTACACATTTCTGCTTTGGTGGGAAATGTTAAGGTATAAACTTTTTAAATCATACACCAATGAGCCATAACATTAAGAGCACTAACAGTGAATAACACTGATTATCTGGTTATCATGGCAGTCAGTAGGTAGTGGGAATTATGGGCAGCGTGAGGATTTGAGCGACTTTGACAAGGGCCACGTTGTGATGGATGACTGGGTCAGAGCATCTCCAAACCTGCAGCTCTAGTGGAGTGTTCCTGGTCTGCAGTGGTCAGTACCAATCAAAAGTGGTCCAAGGAAGGAAACCGGAGACAGGGGTCATGGGCCGGCCGAGGCTCACTGATGCATGTGGGGAGCTAAAAGCTGGCCCGTGTGGTTCAATCCAACAGACGAGCTACTGTAGCTCAAACTGCTGAAACAGTTAATGCTGGTTCACAGTTTGTTGGTACAGAGCTGCAGGGTGCCCAGGCGGTCATAATGTTATGGCTGATTGGTGTAGTTTGACTGTGATACAAGTTGGATCTGAATCCAGTGTTTGAAATTCCTCCTCATCAGGTGTCATCTCCACTCCCATCACAGAGGTCATCTTACACAACTTTAAAGACATTGTTTTACGGTGTGAGTCTAAAGGCTGGTATCCAGAGCCTGAGGTGGTCTGGCTGGACGGTGAGGGAAACCTCCTCTCTGCTGGACCTACAGAGACAGTCAGAGGTCCTGATGACCTCTATACTGTCAGCAGCAGAGTGACTGTGGAGAAGAGACACAGCAACAACTTCACCTGTAGAGTCCAACAGAAGGACATCAACCAGACCAGAGAGACACACATCTATGTTCCAGGTTATAAAGAGCTCTAAATATATTAAACATATTGTCACTGTTGAGCTCTAGTTTGATTCAATGTCATTCTGTTCTCTCTTCTATCTTTTCAGATGATGTATTTACAGTTCAGTCGTCTACTTGTTGTGTTTGGAGCATCGTCATTGTCATTTTCATTACTGTGCTGCTGTTCATTATTATCATTCTGATAGCCAAACGTAAGTCACATAAAAATTTACTTTTTTATGCCAAGTTACAGTTAGAGCTCTTTATTGGCTGTATGTAGGGATTAATTCTACTTTTTGCCTGTTTTTGCTTTTGTGTAAAATCAAGGACCCGTTCTTTCAAAAACAAAAAAAAGAAAGAAAGGAAATAAATGTGAGTGGTAAATCTGCCTCTGTAACTGTAAACTGTTTTGTGCCATAACAGCGAGAAGGGAAAGCTTGACAGGCCAAACATTAACTAAGCAAATGGTCATGAAAATACATTTTGGAAAAAAAATCTCTCTCCTTTGGAAATGTTCTGTTTATGAAAGTCACTGTGATGTTAAAAATATTCCAGTTCAATTATCATATTTTTGTTCTGCTTGTGTAGTTTTCTCAGTTTAACACTCATTCATTGATTAGACAAAAACACATGAACACAACAACTTCAACACTCTCCTGTTTCTGTTGGCTCACAGGTATAAAGAGGAACCAGAAGAATGAAAATGAACAGACAGAGAAAGAAAAAGATGAACAGCAGGATGTAAAAAAGTCTGTGATCCCAAGAAAGCCAAATTACATGAAGAAGCAAAATGCAGTTGAGAATACATGTGAAGACCTTCCTATACTGAAGGGAAAGAAGGAGGAGGACCAGAGAGATCAACTGGACAAAATGGAGAGATCACAGAGAGAGGAAACATCAGAACCGGGAAATAACACAGAAGACGAGAAACAGAAGACACTTGAAAATACAGAGAGACAACGAAAAACCTCCTGTAGTGATGGAGAACGATTAGGTCGTAGAGAAGAAGAGTGGAGGAAATCATTGTGACACTGGAACATATTCTCCATCTTTTCCTGGTCTACCCGGTCAGAGCTCAGACGTAGAGCGGGTCGTCCACTAATCAGAAGGTTGGTGGTTAGATTCCCTCCAGTCCGCATGTTAAAGTACTGACAAAAAATCCAATCAAACCCAGAATCAGATGGGTCACTGCTGCACCATGGGCCTGTAATGTCCATTCAGACTTTTGTATTTCCTAAGGTTTATTTTGTCCAAAACAAGGAAGTAAATCCCGGTTCCTGCATCAGCCCACCCAGGTGCATGCTGGTCCTACGTTTGCCTTCCTTGAGAAAAAGAATGTATTAACCAAAAGGCTTACAGCACCACCTCCAGGCAGGGAGGGAAAACAGCTGATCATAGAAATCATAGAGAAACAAATATGAGACTCAGGGTCATCCAAGAAAGGTTTGATCTTAGGTACCTACAAGTTCATCAGTTCCTTTTATGCAGAGAATCTCAATCTTAAACTCCTGCAGCAGTAATGACCAGCACTTAAGTCTCTGATTGTTAGAGCACATATGGGACAGGAACACAAGAGGATTGATGTCTCGATAAAGAAGAACTAAAGAAGTGAACTTGAACCAACATAACCTCAAAATGCTGAGCCAGAAGCAATGACAGGGCTGGTCTGAGTATCATCAGATAATCTGTCATTCATTTGTCATTTAAAAATGTCAATTTGTCTTTTGTTTCATAATAAAAAAGGGTCTGATTTAGGTTTATGTGACCAAAGTCTAGTTACAGACAAAGGACGACACAAGAAGTCCTGGCACTGTGCAACAGGTGAGGTTGAGACAGAGATACACTTTCTCTTAAAATCACATTGGAATACTTTAAAACATTTAATCCAACAATTCCAAACTTTAAAGAGTTAATTGACAATAACAAAAAAAGATTATATTGGGAGAGAGACATGCAGCAAACATAGAGCGACAAAATGTCACAAACTGAGGGACAGACATTAAAATATAATTACTGAATAAGACAAATCAATATCTTGTTGTACATATAGAACACACACACACACACACACACACACACACACACACACACACACACACACACACACACACACACAGATGTTCTTTTTACCAGTATTTCTCTGTTTTTATTCAACTGCTTATTGTTGTTTTGTATTTAATGAATAGATTCTTTATTAAATGTATTCTTAATGTTTATGTTTTCTGGATTAATTTTATTATTTCAATTCCATTTATTTTAGAATTGTGTTAATTTTGGCAAAGCTTTGGCAATAATTGATTCTCACATTCATGCCATTAAAAGCATATTAAATTAATAAAGTGTGAGAGTGTTTGTGAAAGAGTGTAACAGCAGTGGTTGTAGTCCAGCACAGACAGGCTGCAGTGATTGATGTTAATGTAGTTTGTGTCTGTTCATATGTGAACTGTGCTAATACTTACAAAGACACACAGTTACACTAGTGAATGTGTTACTCTGATGGTTTTAATAGATTTTAGATGATAAATAGAAAATTATTATGTATATTAGGCAACTTTTCTGCGTTTACAACATTTATTCACTCATCTAAAATGTCTCTAAACATGAGACCTGATCCACATCAACTGCAGAGCAGAATAAACTGGAGACACGGCAGGGCTGTGTGTCACTTTACTTCATGACTCCTGATTTTATCCAGATGTTTTTGATCCAGGTGTTCATCCTCCAGGAGACTCAGTCAGTCTGTTCTTCATGTCTGCAGTTTTCTGACAGACACACCGCTTTCTGACAGACACACAACTAAACACTCAGCAGTGTTTACTTTATACCTCAGTCTGTATAAATGAGCTGACTTGTGCATTCAAATAGTTAAAGTGTGGGAGACCAAACCTCCCTCTGTTTAACCCCTGATGAGGGTTGAATCAATGAAAGGTCCAGTGTGTAACATTGAGGAGGATCTACTGGCACAAATGGAAGATAATAAGTATGTTTTCATTAGTGTTTAATCACCTGAAAATAAGAATCAAACCAACATTCAGGCTCTAAAATACAGGAGGTTTTTAATAGTGTCCATATTAAAGGCATGGTCACTATCCTGGTGTGTTTGTGTGTGTTTAGATATTTTAGGTGAAACGTCATCCTGCTCTGACATTTTTACAACCACTGAATCTGGTTGTGTGTTTCCAGTTTGTGACGACTGACAGTTGGTTTTTATTGTATATTGTGTTGATAGAGTGCGCATTATTTCATAGACGATGTGGCAACTTGTTTGTTGTTTATTCAGCCTCAAACTCTAAAAGTCAAACACTTGGTTTCACCCTGACTGAAAGTCAATATAAAGTCACACCCGTTATCTAACCCACAGTGAAAGTACACATTGTTAATCTGAGGTTGTCTTTGTGGATATTTCATTCTGGACTTTGACCGTACAGCTTCCTCCCTGAGTTGAGGCTCCTTCACTCACTCAACAGGTATGTAGGATTTTTACATCAAACACTTAATAATACATTACATTAGTGATTTATTTCACATGCCATTATTGTAATTATTTATAGTGTGTTTCTGGATTAAAAGTCAAACTGTCAACAGTTTTTTTCTGTAGTATTATTTCATTCATGTGGCTACAGTAGTGAACGCTGTGGTAATCTGGGACCAATCAGCATTTTACTTTGTATTCACACATATCCAACCTGCTTTCCTCTTGTCTTAACTACAATGTTCAACTCTGTTTTATTTGGTACTAATAAAACATTCAGTCACATTGTTCAGGAGTTTATATGAACAGTAAAACCACCACTGTGTTCAACAAAGGTCTGAATCATTACACTGATTACACTGCGTTCAGTTATGATTGAGATATTTCTCCTCTGGTTTCTCCCCCCTAAAAGTAATTTTCCCCCAGGGATTATTTTTGTATTTCTGATTCTGATTCTGATTTTAGAGTGAATTGAGTCAATTTATTCTCATTTTCAGAACTTTAGAATGATTCACATGAAGTCTGCTATCTTCAATCAGCCATCTCTTCAACCCTCATCATCATCGCCATCACCATTTTGTTCTGTTTTTCCTGTCTGTCCTGGTAAAAGGACTGCTGTCCTTACACATTTCTACACTTACTGTGGGGTTTTCTGTAACACCTTTTAAACAGTAGGGAGTACAGAGTGTGTACAATCTAAATCAACAAATGGCCACTTTAAGGTGTGTGTGTGTGTGTGTGTGTGTGTGTGTGTGTGTGTGTGTGTGTGTGTGTGTGTGTGTGTTGTTCATTAGGTTTGAGAAACGCTGGTTGATCTACATTAAATAAAGACACAGAAGACTGACATGTAACACAAGCAAACAGCTACTGAAGTTATCAGCTACTTTTACCTGATACAGTTGAGATAATACTGCCTGTATTGAATGTACTACTGTAATATTGTGATAATGCAGCTATGAAGGATTCCATTGAGAGAAAACATAAAAGACTTTATTTCTTTTTTTATTAATTATTGCAATATAATAAAGTTTTTAAAGGATTATTTTATTGATTTGTCTTGTTACCAGTATAAACTAAACACACAAGTGTATTTCTCCACTGGTTCTTCAACGTCTCCTCATATCAGTTACATTTGTTGTCTGTCTGCATGTTCTAACACGTTTTTAACGTTTCAGGCTGTTTAACTTTTTAGGATCCTCCCCTCCTGTATGCATCAGTGACGTTCTTCTTCATTGCCTTCAGAGCGGGAACAGCACAACATGACTGATCCAGTTTGCATTCTTCACCCTGCAGGTAAGAGTTGTTTTTTAAAGTAAAATAGTCCCTGATCAGCATTTTACTAATTTAATCAATAATCCTCTTTCATAACGAAGGACTATTAACAGATAAATTGTTAATTAGCTGTGAAATTACGACAGGTTAACATATAAGGGCAGTTTCTTGCTTTAAATGATGCATATGTTACACTGTCAGGACCACTTTTGTGAAAAAAAAAACTTATTTCCAAATGCAGAATGTGATATTTGGTGGTATGGATCTGTTCTGGGACCTCTCTGCCCTTCCACGTGCACATGTGAAAAACTTAAGACAAGGAGAGCAGCAGCAAAGACCCCTCAGGGTACAGGACAGAGCAGGCTTCAATGACAGAAATAACATTGATTAAATCAGATAACACATAAAAGGTCAAGCTGGGGTGGAGGTGGGTTGCAGAGGATGCAGCAACAGTAGGCAGCTTAAATAAGGTACCACTAAATGAGGGGCCACTGGGGGCTTTTGAGGGACCTTTGGCTGATCTTTTGGGGCCACTGATTCCTGATGGTATTTCAGGCTGCATTTGAGATAAAACTATGAACTCTGAAAGAGAGAGAAAGAGTGCTCTAACTGTGAAATAATGGGAAAAATCAAAACACCAAACAGAAAGAAATGTGACCTCTTTTTCTTACTGAAACATGATAATTTTTGTTGTGCAGCCTCATTTGTGCAGAAAGGGCTGAGATAAAATTGACTGCTGCTGAAACTCTCACCCTCCAATAACACACTAAGGTGTTAAAATGTCAATAACATTGATATTTTTAAGACAGACAAAATGTCTTCAAATATACAAACAGACTGTAGGAGGAGGAGAAGAACAGAAAAAGCTCATACAACACAAGATTCCCTTCATGGACATTCAGGCACTATTTGACTGATTTTCCACAAGTACGTGCATGTTTAGATCTGGTTTCAGATGAAGGTGAAAGGAAAACAAGTTGGTAGTGATCCACTGAGACAGAAAGATGAAAGAAAAGATAAACTAAAAAACAGCAGAGTTTCCAACAAGGGAAGACATTTGTTTTTGTTTTTTGTTTGTTTTTGTTTTTATTTTATTTGCAGGAGTCTACAATGCTGTCCAGTGATGGACTGTCCTTCAGGACCTGCAATGTTTTAATGTGTCTGATACTGACTTTTGAAGGTATTTCCACACAAAACACTCCAGGAACATTTTGATGTGTGTGTTCTGGATGTTTCACACATGTAGTATGTCTGTATTTTTATACTGAGAGAGAGAGAGAGAGAGAGAGAGAGAGAGAGAGAGAGAGAGAGAGAGAGAGAGAGAGAGAGAGAGAGAGAGAGAGAGAGAGAGAGAGAGAGAGAGAGAGAGAGAGAGAGAGATGTTAAGTCCATGACCACTGCAGCAAGGACTCAGCTTTGGTAAATGGGGTGCCAGATCCACCAGGTGAGCTACCAGGATGCCCCACTGTTACACATTGATTACAATATTTTATAGAAAGCTGTTTAGAAATTAAAAATTTTTTTATCAGTGGAGGAGGAAGAACTCTTACAGTCAGTAAATGAAGCACTACCACAAAATACATAATCCTTAATCAGTATTTTACTCATTTAATCTATAATCTACTTTCAGGGTGAAGTACTATTAACAGTTAATGAATAAATGTTACAGTTCTTTTCAATAATTAACAGTTAATTTCCTGTGAAATGATTGAGGAGTTAACATGTGAGGACAGTTTGATGCTTTAAAGGATGCATTTAGATACACAGTCCATCTTAATGCAAACATACATTGAAAGAGTTATTGATCACTTTTTCCTGAAGTGATGCTCTATCACAACTTCAGTGGAAGCAGCTGTGTGTTAAGTAGAGAGTAAAGACATTTGTTTTATTTGTGTTTTTTAGAACAACCAGACTAAAGGATGTTGCCCAGTGACAGACTGTCCTTCATAACTCTTCTAATACTGACTTTTAAAGGTAATTTGCACGCAAAACAGTAACACAGGCTACAGTCACACTGGTTGATCTGAGGCTGCAGCGGTCGATTTTCTTTGTTTTTGATGCAGTTTTAGAACAATGTTTATGATTTCATGCTTTTTAATTAAATGTTTTCTTACTTTTTAGAAAGTAAAAATGAATCCATTCAGTCTGATGACATGTATTATAACTATGCTACTGTTTCTTGTTTGTTCTTTAGTTTGCGTTGCAGAGCAGTCAGAGTTGATTTGTTCACATCAACCAATCGTAGCCCTGGCTGGTGATGATGTCATTCTACCATGTTACCTTGATCCTCCAATCAGTGCCAGTTTTGAGACAGTGGTGTGGACCAAACCTGGTTTAGACCCAGAGTACATCCATTTTCACCAAGATGGACGACTGATGTTTGAAACTCAAAATCCATCTTATTTTTACCGAACGAGACTGTTTGTGGATGAACTGCAGAATGGAAACGTCTCCATGAAAATCTTCAAAGTGAAAATCTCTGATGCAGGAAAATACTTTTGCTTCCTTCGATCAATGTTGAAGGAAGCTTCCATCCAACTCACTGTTGGTAAGTCAGACTTTCTGAAGATGATGAATTACACATTTGTGCTGACTGCAAAGATCAGTAATGTAACTTTATATTAGAAGTAAGCAGCCATGATAAGACACAAAGAAAACAGTGCTGTAAGTTATTTGTTGGATCTGAATCCACTGTTTGAAATTCCTCCTCTCTTCTCATCAGGTGTCGTCTCCACTCCCATCATAGAGGTTGTCTCCAATAACAGTGGAAGAGTAGTTTTACAGTGTGAGTCTAAAGGCTGGTATCCAGAGCCTGAGGTGGTCTGGCTGGACGGTGAGGGAAACCTCCTCTCTGCTGGACCTACAGAGACAGTCAGAGGTCCTGATGACCTCTATACTGTCAGCAGCAGAGTGACTGTGGAGAAGAGACACAGCAACAACTTCACCTGTAGAGTCCAACAGAAGGACATCAACCAGACCAGAGAGACACACATCTATGTTCCAGGTTATAAAGAGCTCTAAATATATTAAACATATTGTCACTGTTGAGCTCTAGTTTGATTCAATAATGTCATTCTGTTCTCTCTTCTATCTTTTCAGATGATTCATTCCCAGTTCAGTCGTCTTCTGATCGGATTCGGATCATCATCATTCCTCCTGTTTGCATTATTGTGCTGTTCATCATTATCACTCTGATAATATGTAAGTCACATATTTATTTTCCTTTTTTATACCAAGTTCCTGTCAGAGCACTTTATTGACATACATACAGGCATAACAACATTAACTAAGCAAACAGTCTGAAATGATCTTCACTGCAGGAAATTTGGGGAAAATGGAGGAAATAAAAGAAAATGTGTTGCTTTCAAATCTAAGGCAAAAACACAAAAACACTGTTCTTCTTCTGTTGGCTCACAGGCACAAAGAGGAACCAGAAGAATGAAACTGAACAGGAAGAGGACGAAGGTCAACAGCAGGATGTAAAAACTACAGAGTTTCTGACCCAAATAAACACTGAAGACGAGAGACAGAAGACACTTGAAAACACAGAGAGATGCAGCGTTCAACGACGTCGACTAAAGCGTTCCTCTAGTGATGGAGAACGAGGAGGTCGTAGAAAAGAAGAGTGGAGGAAATCATTGTGACACTGGAGCATATTCTCCATCTTTTCCTGCTCTACCCGGGCAGGCGGCTGTCAGAGCTCAGACGTAGAGCGGGTCGTCCACTAATCAGAAGATTGGTGGTTAGATTCCCTCCAGTCCGCATGTTAAAGTGTCATCTGTGTGTGTGTGTGTGTGTGTGTGTGTGTGTGTGTGTGTGTGTGTGTGTGTGTGTGTGTGTGTGTGTGAATGTGCATTAGCTACTTTCTGATAAGCAGTTGGCACCACCTCTGCCATCAGTGTGTGAATGTGTGCTAGGAAGACTAGAAAGATGAGTGCAGTCCATTTACCCCCATGTTAAGAGAGGAATGATAGTTTACAATCCATCCATTAGTACTTTGTTTTCAATCTGTGTGAGCAGGTGTTGTCTTTGTGGGACTGTTAAACCTGGCCTAGTGGTAACCAGAGCCTAGCACAGGAATGACTCCCCTCTTCCCCATTCCATAAGGTGACCAGTGTCACAACAGTGGCAGCCCAATATAATTGATTTTCTGCGATATACACACACAGACAACCAGAGAAAAATATGACTTCATACAGGTTGGAAAAAAAAAAAACAGGCTCCCAGTCATACAAATCTACTACTTTACATTTCATTAACTTCAACTGCACATTGCAAATATTCTTTTTACCTAATACTGTGATCTTTTGCTCATTCCTGCAAAAACTTCCATTTAAAATAACTTCCATGTTTCTATTATTGTATTCATACTTTCAAATTATCATATTTTTTCATATATTCGTTTTCTATTTTTCTATTTATGCTGCTTGACTTGCATTACGTGTTTCTCTTGTCTTGGTTCATTGTTATGCACATATATAATATATAATAATTGTGATCATTGAATCATTTTGGTCATTTGTATTTAGAGAATAACTCTTATCATGGCTGCCACTCAAATACTCCCAGGTCCTTTCACTCAGTTAGTAATCAAAAACTCTATTGGACCGGACCCCCAGTCAGGTTGAGTCATAACACCCTCCCACCAGAGAGAGAGAGAGAGAGAAAACACAGTTTCTGTTTGCCAGTATTTTCTTGTTGTTGTTTATCTTCTCATTGATTAATGAACATTAATATTGACTGAATGTATTCTGAGAGAGACATTGTCATTATGGTGAGATACTATATAATGACATATACTACATATTATATATAGACTTTATATAACTATACTAATAATAACAACTACTGTAATATTTGTTTACTATATTTTATTGTTGTTGTTATTCTGACTGATCTCAGTATTGTTAGAGTGACGAGAGAGACAATAGAATTAGAGTTGTATGTTGTATGTGTAAATGTATGCAGTGTATCAACGTTTGTCAAAAATGTCAAAGTTCTTTAATGATTCAATGAAAAAAAGCTTCATTGCTGAAAACATCATGAATGATGTCTGATTGGATTTGATCAGGTGTTCATCCTCCAGGAGACTCAGTCAGTCTGTTCTTCATGTCTGCAGTTAACTGCTTCATCCTCTTCCTCTGCAGGAATATGTCTCCTTATGAACAGCCACAAGAGGGCGTAACAGGCTTTCTGACAGACACACAACTAAACACTCAACAGTGTTTACTTTATACCTCAGTCTGTATAAATGAGCTGACTGGTGCATTCAAATAGTTAAAGTGTGGGAGACCAAACCTCCCTCTGTTTGACCCCTGATGAGGGTTGAATCAATGAAAGGTCCAGTGTGTAACATTGAGGAGGATCTACTGGCACAAATGGAAGATAATAACTATGTTTTCATTAGTGTATAATCACCTGAAAATAAGAACCAAACCAACATTCAGGCTCTAAAATACGGGAGGTTTTTAATAGTGTCCATATTAAAGGCATGGTCACTATCCTGGTGTGTTTGTGTGTGTTTAGATATTTTAGGTGAAACGTCATCCTGCTCTGACATTTTTACAACCACTGAATCTGGTTGTGTGTTTCCAGTTTGTGACGACTGACAGTTGGTTTTTATTGTATATTGTGTTGATAGAGTGCACATTATTTCATAGACGATGTGGCAACTTGGGTGACGTCTGACAAACATACAATATCTATGGATCTGTGTACGGCGGTTATTGATAATAAAGTGTGAGGGACGTACAAATTACTGGAGTTTCCTGGGAGAGACAATGAAACAGGAGGGTGCCGGGAGATGGCCTTGAAATATGGGAGAAACCCGGGAAAAACGGGAGTGTTGGCAGGTTTGATGAGGATAATGTTACCTTAGAATGAGCCGATTTTATCTTTAGAGGGAGTGGGTCCTCTTCTACAGAGTCCGCCATGTTTGTAGCCCAGAACAGATAAACCAAACACTGGCTGTAGAGAGGACCTTTTGTGTTGTTGGAGAGTTTCTCCTTTGTGCTCGGTAGATTCAAGTTTCAGCTGATTGCAGTCTGAAACTTCACCACTAGAGGTCACTAATTCCTGCACACTGGTCCTTTAACTTTGTTTATTTAGTTCAGGCCTCCAATCTGATACCTTTATTCTTTTTGCGGATTGGTCTCAGTCTTAATGAATCACTTAACCCTCTTTCTTGTCGTCCGTCTTTTTCCTGCAGACGAGAATAAAGTTTTTGTCTCCAAGCTGTTTCTGTCCCCCTCTGTTCTCCATGGTGGAGAGGAGGTCGTATGGCTCGATTTGTTCAATGTCCTCCTGGATCCACATTCTTCACTTTCACTCACACTCTTTTTTTTATATATTTCAGAGATTCTGACATCAAAGTTTGAATCTAAAGTGATTTTGTCTCTTCTGTACAGTCGATCTATTGTATGTCTGTCCGTCCTGGGAGAAGGATCCCTCCTCTGTGGATCCTCCTGAGATTGCTTCCACTTTCAGAATCATGATGTTGTTGAGTTAGGGTGAGTCTATCCATTCTGACTTTGTTTCCAGTGTTACGGCCATAGAGCTGTGTTTCTCTCTCTCTCTCTCTCTCTCCAGGTACTGCCCTCCCCCTCTGTAACAGGTAGGTGTGTGCAGCTGACTCCAGTTACTAATATGGGCTGGGTCTGTATACACAGACAGCAGCTGTGTGCCAGTGGGTCGTCCGGCAGTGTCAACGCTGTGTGGATTGAAACAAACTTTCTTTGGGTTCTTCCTCCCGGGTAAATTTAACTTTATTTTTTATTTAATTGTGTTATGTATCATTCAGTCTATGTGAGCAGGTGTTGTCTTTGAGCCAGTGAAAAGGCTGCAGACACACAGTGAAGAAGGTGACTGTGTTTAATATTCATTATTATCATCATCATCCATTCTCATCTGTTTAAACACAGAACTGTTCACTGTATTGTAGTTACAGTAGTGACATTAAGACTTTAAGACAATTACTGTGAGATCATGAAATATTAACATGAAATATAATAACCTCAGAAATCCAAGAGGACTTCAGTGTGTGTAAATATACCTGTATTGTGTTATAAGATGCAAAATAGTAACAGGAAGTTCCCTTAACTGACTTTCTGTGGAGTTTTAATTAATTTTGATAGTTATTGACTAGAAAATATCTGGCGTGGAAAATCGTACCTTTTAGCAGTCCAACTTTGGGCTGTGGGCCCAACAAATAAGTTTTGTATTATTACTGTGAACTGGTGATGATATCAGTGGTTTCATGTATTTACAGCTGTGGCTGTTAGCTCAGTGTGTCTGTAGTCAAACATATGAACACACAAACTGTGTTTTATTGTTCATGCAGTCTCAATATAAAGTATATAACTCAAGTGAAAGTACACATTGTTTTACTATGGGCTGTCTGTATTTATTCCAGACTTTGACCGTGCAGCTTCCTCCCTTAGTTGAGGCTCATTCACTCATTCAACAGGTAGTTAGGAGTTTAACATGAAACACTTAATAATATATTATATTAGTGATTTCTTTCACATGCCATTATTGTAATTATTTATAGTGTGTTTCTGGATTAAAAGTCAAACTGTCAACAGTCTTTTTCTGCAGTATTATTTCATTCATGTGGCTACAGTAGTGAACGCTGTGGTAATCTGGGACCAATCAGCATTTTACTTTGTATTCACACATATCCAACCTGCTTTCCTCTTGTCTTAACTACAATGTTCAACTCTGTTTTATTTGGTACTAATAAAACATTCAATCACATTGTTCAGGAGTTTATATGAACAGTAAAACCACCACTGTGTTCAACAAAGGTCTGAATCATTACACTGACTACACTGTGTATTTAAGAGTGAATTGATTTATTCTCATTTTCAGAACTCCAAGATGATTCACATGAAGGACAGACTGATCCTCAAACCTGAGCTCAGTGACTTCAGTGCATTGGTCTTTCATCACACTGTAGTCCTCCTCTTCCTCACACACTCTTCTGGAGGTAAATTACACACAAAC